TTTCCCTTTTGCTCGTGTGAGAGGGCGAGTTGAGCAAGATTTTTGAACCAAATGTTCAGATTCAAGAGCCTAGTAGAAAGAGCAGTTGACATCCCTCGGGCCTGGCCAAGGCACCAACAGCCCCAGGCCTGTGCGCACCCAATGCTGCACCTGCAACCTGAGGTCTTCACAAGGGAAAAAAAAAGTCCAGACTTGGGGCTTTTGGTTGGGCAATTTGGAGGGTTATTTTGGGTTTTGTTTTTGTTTTTTTTGTAACCACATTGCAGTGCTTCACCAAGCGGAACTGGAAGTGCTCCCTGCCTCAACCACAACCAGAGAGCACCGAGAAGACCAAGAGCAGACCAACCTTCCACTCATTACCAAGCACGTGGACACTTCTGACGCTTCGTCAAATAACTTTACACTTGACACTTATTATTTTTAAAGCTCTTGGTACAATTTACAATCTATTTCAACAAAGGTACCACTTACAATCTATTTCTCACAGAAGTATTTTCAGACTTTAGTAAAATCAAAATGAAAACCATACTTAAGTCCCAATATTGCTTTTACATGTCTGCATCCAAAATTTTATGCATGGTAATTAGTGGATGAGAACCTGAAAATGAAAAGCAAAACGAAAAGCCTGTTTCCACCTGTAAAACAGAAGAGATACAACTGCAGCATGGATCCGATGGAACTTCTTCACTCAGTTTCAATAGTCATTACTTCACGGAACACAAGAAAGGAGTCTTTCAGTAGGGGTTAGCGTTGACTTTCTTCTTAACCTCTTCAGAAGAAAGTTGACTTTCTTCTGAATCTCTTCAAGAGCAGTCACATTTAAAGGGCTCCGTGAAGCTCCACGAGCAGCACCGGCTGCTTCGCAGGTCTCCTGCCCACCACAAGCAGCAAGGGGCAGCAAGTTGGGGTTCGGCGCTGCTCTACCCACCCGCACAGCAGCAAGAAGCCCCTAGAGACTCGGAGGGGACCAAAGGGAGCCAGCGCAGCCACACAGGAGCCCTCTCCCTCCGGAGGACTCTCCGTCCTCCCGAGCAGCAACCACAGGGTTTCACGACCGGCTGATGTTGAAACACGGACTCATGACTGATGCCGCAACCAACACTACACCGAGTCCAGCCAGCTTCCCGAAGGCGACACTGGGGCAGATTTCACAATATGGGAGAGTTTTATGAAACATTTTCTCTCCGTAAATTAAACACCGTTATTTTCTATCACAAAATAAGCTTTTGTACCTCAAAGGATGTCCGTGCTATGCAGACAGTGAAAAAGGTTGTAGAGCAGAAGCAATGAGATTCTTCATCCATGCACCTCCACCAGAACTTGACCAGCATCCAAGAAGCAAAAGAGGTTGTTAAAGCATCTTAACGAAGAGGAGATTTGGGTACCACATAGAGAACACTGAATATAAGTACACATAATTTACTCTCCAGCGCTAGGGAGGCTTCACATCTGCTGCCTACCAGAAACCTGAAATCACTCTGGCAAGAAGCCTCCAAATGCAGTCGCTAGTGAATGGTCCTGTGTGCATGCCAGGGCGCCCTCAGCTCAACCCGCCTTCCAGAGGGAGAATTTGGGGGAGCTTTGGGGTGAAAACAGACCTCCCGTAGCTGGTAATGTCCTGTGGAAAACATGGGTTTATTGCTCTTTGTGAAGCTCCAAGGCGCGTTTTTCTCCCCAACGAGCGCGAGCTGGCACGTTCTGAAAGACTCTCCTGCACGTCCTCAATATGACAAATAACTCGGTGGGGACAGGAGAGAGGCAGCCTCTGTATGGGATGCACTGGATGGCAAATAATCGATTCCTTACCGAGTAGGACGGGAATCCTTTTTTTCCCAGTTGCTTTGTACCTAAAGAAAGCCTTGGCACCGACTCTTAAATATGCCTCTAATGCTCTCATGAGACTCAGGACTCTTCGGGGGCATCACAGAGTCTTACTATAAATGTGTTAAGAAATGAAATGGGAACCTGCTCCCACCGGGCTACAGGAGCATCTTGCGCACTCCATTACAGACCTCTAAGTTCAGGGAAAATCTTGAATTTTCATCAGAGACAACCAAAAGGTCAGCCTTTCTTATGGGATTTCAGCCATTTGAATGCCCTTTTGAGCTACAATCTTGAAATTAGGAATAATTCATTCATTACAGGCTGCTGATTACAGGGGGGGAAAAAAAACAGAAATTTGACATTTCTTTCCAGTTCACCAAAAGGTCAGTCTACTGATTTACAAAATTTATATTAATTTTAACTCTGAGGCTGTCACATTGGGCATGAGGCATCCAATTTGGAGAAATTAAGGTCACTTAAGGTCTCCAGTTACATTTATCATTTTGAATGCAAAAAGTTCTCAAAGGCAAAGGCAGTGCTGAGGGAGCCACCAGCCAAATTCATCCCAATTGGGTGCTGCTGCCAATTTTAATACACTAAAAGGCATTTCCATCTCAGAAAACCTGGCCTTTCCGTCCCTCCTCCCAATGCATTGCCAGGCATGGAGCATTTCTGCAGGAAACAAAGACAAACTCAACTTGAGGCTGATGCATCTCCCGTGACAAAGCAGGAGTCCTCAACTCCCGCTGCTATTGGGTTGGGCTCCCGTTGACACGAGCTCTGCTCAACCTCACCAGCCAACTCAAACCCTCCATTCGAAGCTTAAACATGTGGACAGGAGAGGAGGAGGCCAAAAAGGCTTCTCTCACTGTCCAGAAAGAGCAAGGCATGCTCCAGAGTTGACTCCAAGACACCAGGAGCAGGGTGGGAGGTATCTCCAATAGCATGGGAAACGCTGCAAAGTGCATAGCGAGGGTCTGACCAGCCCTCACAAGGCTCTGCTGGAGCTTCAAGGGCAGGAATAATGGCCCAAACACAAAGCCCAGGGGCCTGCTGCTGCCTGCTGAGCCATTCAAGGTGCTTTGCACAACTGAAGAGAAAAACCAAAGCTGAAGTGCTCCCTCACCAAACAAGCCAGACTAAGGGAGTCTTGCGACAGCTGCCATTTGTGAGCTTTGGTACCTGCACACGGGTGTTTGTGAACACACACAGCACAGCAAGGGCGCCTGGAGCAAGCGCCGGGCTCCTGCTCAAACCAGCAGGCTCCTTCCCGCAGGGCGGCCAGGAAAGCTCCGCTCCTCCTGCTCGCCACAGTGCTCCAGAGCCACCCGACCGCGGAGGAGCTGCTCCGCTGGCGGCCTTGTACACACCACGAGATTCCAGGCCCCAAACGAAGGCTTCTCCCACCTTTCCTGCTGTGTCACCAACCCAAACTGCTGCAGGGGGGCTGCTGTCCCGCTGCTGCAGGGATATCCTGGGCAGGGGGATGGACCCAAGTCAGGAACAAAGCCAGAGCCAAGGCCAAAGCCTCCACTGGTGCAAAGCAGGATCATCTGCACCAGGCAGTGCTTCTGCCCTCTTTCTCTCTTTCTTTTTTTGTTTCTAATGGAAACATTGCTCTTTTTTTAATCTTTTATAAAGACACACTCATAAAAAATTGAATATAAGTCTGTTCACGCTTACTAGAGAGAGGGCTGCTCCGGTTCCTGCAGTCCTCTCTTGCAAACAGGACCTGCGAGTGCTCAGCGCGCTGCTGCTTCATCCTGCTTTTTGGGCAATGCTCCTGACGTTGCTTTCTCGTTCAAGGAGGACAAACGAAGGGAGCCCTCTTGCACGGTGATAATTTTTTGCTCCAATTATAACCTCTACCCATCAAAAGTTTTTCCACTCTACCTGTGTTTATTCTGCAAGTAGCTTTAATTTTTTAAACTCCTTAAATAAGTCAGACTTCACTAGTCGCCTTTCAGAAACATAGCTCAACCTTTAGCTCCACATTAAAAAAAGACCTCTGCACAATAACTAGATTTTGAAGTAAATTACTAGCTTTTGAACAGTTTATAAACATTACTTCTTCTCTACATTTTGCTCCTTAAAAACAAATAAATAAATAAACCCCACAATTGGACATTTGTGTTTTTCTGCTTTTTAATTTAGTAACTTGTGAATTCATGCATTGACCTAGCTGAGCAAAGGGCAAAGACTGCTAAATTCCAGAGCCTATTAGATATTCGGTTACTCATTCAAGGCCGCCCAAGTTTTTGTTTTGTTTTTAAAGAGACTTTACTGATGATGAGAGGCAGATTTTGAAATGACACTTTTAAATTAACAACCGAAAGCGGGTGCAGATTAGCCGCTTGCTGCGCTGCTATGGGTTGGCACTCATTAGTCCAATTACATAATATTTTGTTTTGGCCGAATTCAAAGGCAGGAGAAGCGGTGAGAAAAATGAGCTGTTAGGTAAGAGCAAACAAGGAAGAGGTGAGAGGCGGGAAGAAAGAAAAGGGTGGGTGTTTTTTTTTTTTTTTTTTTTTTCCTGAACTTCGGCCACCTCCCATTTGGGCTGCTTCTTTAAAGGCTTTTCCCTTCGCTTGGAGGTGAAGGGAACTGCTCCATTGGAGCAAAAGTATTGCAAATAAGGAGACTACGGATGGGGGAGCCCATGGCCAAGGGAGAGGGAAGGCAGCAGCCCCCCTGCTGAACAGGTTCATCTGTTTGCAGCAACGCCGGGAAGGAGGGCGGGAACACGGACAAAGGCAGGAAAAAAATCAAATAACTTGAAATTTCCCTGCCCTCCCCTCCCTCGGCCCCTAAAAATCCCGTTGCATTGAATTCCAAACCATCTTGAAATTTTGCTAGTTTAGAAAAGATTGAATAAGCATGTAATTAAATTAATTACAGAATCACTGCTCTGCATCCTACGGGAGAGAGAGCAGCAAAAGCAACCAAATGGGTTCCAAATCGCTCCCTAAGTGCTTTCCAGTTAAATAAAACTTCAGAAAACTATTTTAAGCCACTTAAAACACAGTTCTGAGATGAAATTCAAACATTCAACCAATTTCCTGCTCCACAGCACCCGGCTGCAAAGCCCAACCCGGGCCAGAATTTCCCTTCCCAACCAAGCAGCACCTGCTCCGAGCCCGGCCACCTCTCCCACCTGCAATCCTGGCCTCGTTTACCTCTGATCTCCTCCCGTTGGCAACTAACGAGCAGGGATACTACGAGGAGCAGCCACATTCACCGCCCAGCCCAGCCAGCCACCTTTCTATGCAAAAAGCCGACAGGAGCTCGTGAACGAAGCGAGGCCGAAGATCCAGCACCGGTGTCCGGACACAAGCACCTCCAAGCAGGGCTCCCACACCGCGGTCCAGCCCCGTGAGTTCTGCCAGCGTCTCCCCGTCAAACAGTGCCAGCCCGAGCGCGGCAGCTGGTCTCAGGCAGTCAAGCGAGACAGAGGTGTCTCCAGAAAAGCAGTTATCCCTCAGCTACGGCACACGTCCCGTATCAGAGGAGCTTCTTTCTGCCCTGAACCCCGGGGAGCGCAGTCAGTACCTGGAGGCCCAGGAGCTCCGAGCTCTGCCGGACACAACCCGCTGCGGGAAGCCACAAGCCTGCAAGCAGCAGCCAGCCCTGGTGCCAGCAGCCTCGCTCGCCCCGGCAGGGAGGTCAGGAGCGCAGGTAGAGGCCGGGAAAGCAGGGATAGCCCCCATGGCCTCTTTCTGTCAGTGCTCAGTGTCAAGGTAGATTTCCATACCACCATGCTCGCAGAGCGAGGGGCTGGAAGCAGCTGAGTTACCGCTGCCAGGCTCCTTGCAGCTGGGGCACCAGCAGGACCCGATCCCGGGGTAGACACGAGTCCCTGCAAGGATGGGGCCGTAGCAGGAACCCGCCAGGCCTGAAGCACGGATGCTCTGTGAGCACTGCAGCCCCTGCAGGAGGACAGCAAGGAGAGGGGCCGTGATCCTGGTCTCTGTGGAGCTGCAGGAAGGAGTCTTCCGGGTGAGGAACATCCTGGGCTGTCTCCCATGTGTGTCCATACGTGCACCCAAGGGAAACTGTCTTCTGCAAAGCTTAGTGCACCCAAGGCCCAGCTTCCAGGAGGCCGCAGCTCAGCCAGGAGCTCCCCTGCTCTGGGAACTGCTCCTGGGCCACCTGCAATGAGAGGTCCCCACGGCCCCACATGCGGTTCGGGCAGCGCAGAGCTCCCGTGCGGGGCCGTGGCAGCTTTGCTGGCCTGACACAGACCTTGCCCCTCAGCCCCGCCAGCTGCCAAGCGACACAGGCTCCGTCCCCCGATGAGCAGAGCCTTGCAGGGCTCCTCAGGAGGCCGACGCGTGTCCAGACGCGCAGGCAAGGTTTCTGCTATCACTTGTCTCTCCTCAACACCTCTGTGCCGCGGTCAAACCCCGAGCGCGAGCAGAGCAGGGCGCGTGGCCGCTCTGCACAAACGAGCGGGCTGGCTCTGGCCAGCGGCACGAGCCAATCCATGTTGACCCGAACACAGCGGGCAGCCTCTCCAGCAGCAAAGCGGCTTTCGGGAAGCCTGTCCGCAGCTTCAGAGGCTTCAGCTAGCAAGGACAGCAGCAGCCAAAGCTCCCAGACCTCATCCTCACATACAATGAGTGCCATCTGCATAGGGAAACAGCAGCAAAGATCTTCACAAGGTGGCCTGGAAGAACCTGGAATCTGGAATCACATCCTGCAGAAGCATGGATGTGATAAACTGAGCAGCAAAAACCTGTCAAGACCAGATGGCGCTGAAGAAAACCTCTACGGACAATCAAACCTGAACGGGCTCAACTACTGTCTGCGCAGCGTCACCTCCTGCTCCGGCCACGCCAGGCACCCCAGGAAGGGGAGGAAGCAAATCTGACCGTGGGAAATTTTTACACATCTGTCAGGAAGAAATTCAGCAAACTAGAGACCACAAACAGGTGGATGCACAGAAACCACCAAAAACAAACACACAGCCCAAACCAGAAGAGAATTAAAAGTGAAAAGGAGAGGGGAAAAAACAAAACCCACAGTATTTTATATTTTGAAATGCCCAAAACATGGTCATTTCTCTCTCCTATAGAGCTAAGATGTTCTACTTGGAGAGAGGTGCAGTATTTTGTACAACTTGGTTGTATGGCTCACTGGGGAACGTCCTTTGAATTAGGAGGAAAGGAAGCAGGGGATGAATTATGTGCAGCTTGACCTCAGAAACGGAAATCCATTCAATTTGGCTACTTCATCACTCCAAGCGCTGCAAGCTGCGGTGCCAAGATTTGTGTCCGGACTGGTACAGAAGCAGAGGGAGGCAGAAGACACGGTGACCACAGCTCGAGCCGAAGCTGCAGACATCTGTTAGCTGGGGGAACGGGGCCCAGGCGTCTGAAATTCATCTTCCAAACACACTGCTGAAGTAGGTTACTTAGGCTTTTAGAAGCCAGATTTTGATGTAGTAGCACTTTATCCCAATAAAACCCTCTTTTACATATTTCAGTTTATCGAAAAAGAATACCAGCAATAGGGTGAAATCTTCTATCTGCACAATTTCTCCAAGATTTGAAATTGAGCATGGGGGATACAGAAAAGCATAAGGAACACCAGCAGCAAACCCTGTGGTTCCTGCAGCAACCCTCAGCACAAATACAAGCAACACAAGATGTCTTGATAAGTTACTACATATAATACTTGGAGTAATGTTTCTTGGGGTACCTTATTTCTAAACTCAGGAGGCAAAAGGCCCCTAGTTGCTTCTCATGTCCCACCTCAGTCTCTAGTGCTTGAGGATCAGCTGTCACAGTCCTCATGACACAGCAAAGAAACACTGGAAAACGGTATGGCAGATATTTATATTGCAAGCCGGTCTACATGAAAAGCAGGAACACATTTTCAGTGTAACCAAAAAGCCCCGTTGGTTCATTCACGTTCAGCCCTGCAGCAACGCCGGCAAACAGAGCAGAGTTTGCTCAGAAATGAGTGTGGTCCCTGGTGAAATTAGGTGCTGCCCTCCATCGACACGCCTGTGATAAAGAGGTTTCACACAAAGCAAAACAGCATTTCGGGAGACGACTGTACCTGGAAGAGTGGTAAGATTGCTCTGACTCTCAGATTTTGCCCTTTTCCCCTAGGTACGGTGCAGAGTGAAGTTCACTCAGCAGCAAGAAAGCCTCCTGAGAAGTAAGGAACAGAAAGTTGCTTTCATCTTATCTCTTGTTAACAGCCTTTTATGCACCCGGGCTAGTAACAGCGTAGGAAGTCCTCACAAGTTTTGGAAGAGCTAGAAAAATATGTCCTAAAATCGCCTTGTAGGTACAAGCTGCCTAGGGAGCTCCTGGCTCTCCCATTCCCTTGGGCATGGATGGACTAGGAAGCAGCCAGGCCCAGCACAAAGGTTCATCCCACCGTGGAGGTCCATCCCCCTTGACCCGTGTGGCTCCCACCTGCTGAAAAGCCATTGTCCCCTGGGAGCAGCAGCTGCAGGCAAGAAGCCAAGGGCAGGGAAGGGCTGCATCCACCGCTGCCCTTTGTCCCGAGGATTCCGCTCTTTGTGAGGCTAAGTGGATGGGTCCATCTGAAAGAAGCTGCTCAAGGAACATTTCCATGAGTCTAATCACACAAAGCTGGCTTCCAAAGGGGGCAGCAGGACAAGCAAGACGACCAGAAAGGCCAGCGGGGCTGGGAAGGAGCCTGTGGTTTCCCAGTGCCTCGGGACTTGTCCTCTAGGCCTGCCCTGCAGGCAGCAGCACAAGGAACACGGGCGAGCTTGGACACAGGAGCAGCTGCAGCAGAGGGATGGGTAGAAGCTCATAGGACTATTTCTGTATGTTCATTTATACGGCAGCACGCAGCACACGCTAACACACAGTGTTCTTCAGCTGCACCCTGCAGCCCTTCCCCTCTACATGGCCAACTCCGTGACCACACAGCGCTCAGCACCACGAGAGCCGAGCCCCGCGGGCACGTCCAGGAGCTGACTGATGCAAACCAGGAGCCACCACTGCCAAGTGATGCCAGGATGGTCTCTGGACACTTGCTGCTGCAACCACAGGGGGATTAAGAGTCTAAGTTCAGCCCAGAAAGATGCCTGGCCTTAAAGCCCTTGGTAACGACGAAGTTGAGGCTGCCCACGCCAAGCTTGCGTAGCACCATCAGTAACAAGGCTAGAGAAACGGGGAGCCCACAGACCGCAAGGCCCAGCTGTGAAAAGGGTGATGAAGATGCAAGAGAGGGGCTTTCACGGCGCTCAACAGCGGGGACATCCGCGCCCAGGTCTGAGAGCAAAGCCCCGAGCTGCATCAAGCGGTTCAACCGCAGCCACAGGAGCCGCCGTCCTGCCGCTGCGGTGGGCAGGGCTCCTCAAAGGAGCTCTTGCCCCTGCAGAGGGGCAGCCTCTGGGCTACTTTATTTCTGCCACAGCCCTCAGGCACGCAGGCGGCGGGTGCACAAGCAGCTTCACTGCACAAGTGCTACAGAAGGGGCCCGTTCCTCCTCCCCACAAACAGGACAAGGGAGCCACTACCCTGGCAGAAAGCCCCATCTTCCCCCCAATGTTTTCTGTGCCCCTCCCGGGTTAGGGGGCTACACGAACGCCCAGGAGGGGCTCACCAGGCCTGGGTGCTGCATGGGAGCAGCTCCTCCAGTGCGGCTCCCGACCTGTCTCCGGCGGGAGGGCCGCAGCGGCACTGGCAGCACCGGCAGATGCAGCAACCGCTGTGCGAGTTCGCGCCCCGAGGTAGTGGGAATGCAAACGGAGGGAGCTCCTCGCGTGCCGGCCTGCGTTCACACCGCACGTGGAAAACACTCTTCATAAAAGGCGCATTTCTAGCTCTTAGCTATTTTTAGGGGGAATTCTGGATGCCTTTGAACAGGAATGCAGCACACAGCCACAAACATGCATCAAGCCACGCAGTGAAAGGGCTGGACCGGGCCGGCCGACACGACGTCTTCACCCCCCTGAGCAGGGCAGCCAGGCGCGACGCGAGGCCGGAGCCGTCCCCGCAGCCGCGGCCCTGCCGCCCGCTGCCAGGGGACACGGCAGCCCCCAGGGCGGCAGCAGCACCTCCCGAGCACGCAGCGGCTGCTCGCAGGCGGTCAGGAGCCACCAGCACAGCTCCGAAATCAACCCGCGCCCGCTGCAGTGCGGTGCGCGCTGCGGCCAACACCGAGGCTCTCGCTAGCACCGGCCTGTGTGGGCCTTGCTAAAGCTCATGCGAACAAGTCCATC